AGCAGCAGCAGCAGCAGCAGCAGCAGCGGCGGCGGGAGGCAGCAGCGGGCAGGGGCTCGCTCCGCTGCTTTTGTTGCCTTCTCTTCGCCAAGAGCAGCAAAAGCGAAAATAATTAAAAGTTTAAATTAACTCTTTTTGATTTTAAATAATTAATTCAAACTTTTTGCTGCTGCGGCGAAACGCTGCTGCTGCTGCTGTGCGTTCCCTGGGACACAGCAGCAGCAGCGAACTCAGAAGCAGCAAATGCCTCATTTCGCGCCCTTTTTGTTTATTTTTTGCCGTTTCCATTATTTATTTAATTTTTAATTATTTAATTTATATTTTTAATTATTTATTAATTTATTTATTCTTCTTTTCTCTTTTCCCCACTGGCAGCAGCAGCAACAGCAGCAGCAGCAGCAGCAGCAGCAGCAGCAGCAGCAGGAGCTCCGGTGTACGTACACCGAACGGGTTTTCGCGGGAGCTGCCGGAAAGCAAATTAATTTGAATTTAAAAAATCAAAATATTTAAAAGGTTTAAAGAATTAAAGGATTTAAAAGAATTAATAGAATTAAAGGAATTAAACGCAATCAAATTAACTTTTTTGCTTTTCCGAGTGGAGGGAAAGAAAACCAAGCGCGCTTGCTGTTGCTGCTTGTGTTGCTGCTGCTGCTGCTGCTGCTGCTGCTGCTACTGCTGCTGTTGTTGCTGCTGCTGCTGTTGTTGCTGCTGCTGCTGGTGTGTTGCTGCCACCTCTCCCGTGCTGCTACTGCTGCTGCTGCTGCTGCTGCTGTTGCTCTCGCTGTTGCTGTCTGTGTATTATTGCCGCCTGTTTTGCTGCTACTGCCCCTGTTGCTGCTCCAGTTATTGCTGCTGTTGCTGCTAGTATTGCTGCTGCTGCTGCAGTTGCTGCTGCTGCTGCTGCCTCCAACCCACAAGTCCCTAGCGGGCTCACCAAGCAGCAAAAGGATTTATTAAAATTTATTTTACAAAAAATAAATTTTTTCTTTAGAATTTCCCCTCCCCCCTAAATGGGGCTTCAAAGAAGTCCATTTTAATTTAATTTAATTTAATTTAATTAGAATGAACTTTCCAAAAATAAACATTTCCAGTCAATTACCCTGAAGCCAGGGGCTTTCTGGGGCCCCCAAGGGGCCCCTAGGGGCCCCAGGGCAATCAACGGCTAGGGTTTAGGGTTTAGGGTTTAGGATTTAGGGGTTAGGGTTTGGCGAGTGTGTGGAGGCCCTGGGATAGGGTTTAGGGTTGTGTTCAGGAAGGTATTTCTCAAATGAAATAAATTTGGATTTAATTTATTTTCAAGAAGTAAAAAATGAAGACAAGCCCGGGTGTACGTACACCTCAGCTGAGGGCCATTCAGGTGTATGCAGAGACAGCAGAAAAAAGATGTGAAGCTTTCCAACTCGAGGGTTTAGGGTTTAGGGTTTGGGGTTTGGCTTTATTCCGTTTTTTTTCCTTTTTTGTTTATTATACTTCATTGAAAGTAAAACTGAACACCGTACTATTAAAAAAGAAAAACAAAAGTAACAAAACGATTTTTTGTCTTAAAATGGTAAATGTGTAGTTGCGTAAACCCGCGAGTTTTGACTTTTTGAATTTCCCGAAAAGAACAAGGAAGACTTGGTGCATTTGCGGCGTTTGTACACCCCAAAACCCAGAAACATCAGAAGAAATGATAAATAAAAAGAAAAAAGATTAAAAGGAATTAAAACGACTCAAAAATGGCGAACTTGTTCGAAATTTCAAAGACCACTCCAAGCGACGTTCCCGGGGTGTATGTACACCCCAGATTCCCAGCGCTCTGCGCCGCGTCCCGGAAAACCCGAAAAGCACGCGAAATGCACTTCAAATAATGAATTTTAGATTTAATTTATGAGATACTTTACAAATAAAAAGTTAAATTCGAAAAAGAAGCAAAAAAAACAAAGAATTTGTCGCGGATTTCCGGGTCTGCTCGGGGCCCCGGGGGCCCCAAGGCCAGGGGAATCGCCTGCACATTTCTTTGTTTTTTGCGTTTTTTTCAGTTTTAAAAGAATTAAAAAGAAATTAATTTGAATTTCTTTTAATAATTTGATTTATTTTTCTTCTTTTTGCTCCTTTTTTCCCAACTTTGACCTCTTTGAGGCCTCCTGCTGCTCCCACAATTGCAAATGCGCATATCCTAGACCCAGCTTGTCTTTGAATTTCACTTCAGTTTAATCTGCTGTTTATTTGGGCCATTTGGGCCCCAGACTGCTGCTGCTGCTGCTGCTGCTGCTGCAGCTGCTGCTGCTGCTGCTGCTGCTGCTGCTGCTGTGCAGCAGTGTCTGCAGGTCATTTGGATCTTTAGGGAACTTGATTTCTGTTTTGTTTTAATTTCTTTTTTTGATTTTAATTTCATTTCGCAATTTGAATTTGTCTAGATCGCACAGAAACATACCACAAACCCCAGCAGCAGCAGCAGCAGCAGCAGCAACAACAGCAGCAGCAGCAGCAGCAGCGGGAAAATGCAGCTGAAAGGCAGCAAACGCCTCTTTTGGCTTTTTTTGTGTTTTCTTCTTTTTGCCATTTTGCAAATGGCAAAAGCAGAATGGCAACTTCGGGGCTTGAAGGGAATTCCCACACGAAAAAAGGTAATTAATTTAACTAATTAAATTAATTTAATTGATTTAATTAATTTCAATAATGAAATTAAATTAACTTAAATTAAATTAATTAAATTAAATTAATTAAAATAAATAAATTAAATTAAATTAATTAAAATAAATTAAAATAAATAAATTGAATTAAATTAATTAATTTAATTTAATTAAATTAATAAATTTAATTAAATTAATTAAAATAAATTAATTAAATTAAATTAATTAAAATAAATAAATTAAGATAAATTGATTAAATTAAATGAATTAAATTAGTTGAATAATAATCTGTTTAATTAAATTATTTATTTCTTTTAATTAAAAATTCAAAATCTCTTTTTCCTGCAGAAAGGATTTTTTTCTTTTCTTTCCAAAAAAGAAAACGGGCCAGACTTCTTTCCAGAAGTTGAAGAAGAAAGCGTCAGCCCATTTTGCTGCTGCTGCTGCTGCTGCTGCTCATTTTGCTGCTGCTGCTCATCTTGCTGTTGCTGCTTATTTTGCTGCTGCTGCTGCTGCTGCTAATTGTACTGTGCCTCAGATTTAAGGCTTAGGGTTCAGGGTTTAGGGTTTAGGGTCTAGGGTTTAGGGTTTAGGGTTTAGGGTTTGCATGCAGGAGAAGGCGTTTTTGAACGCGTGTATACTTTCAATAACAAATATGTTCGGCCCCGACTCAGGTTTGTCGAATTTATTTTTATTTTTATTTTTATTTTTGTTTATTTTACTTGGTATTTATTATTGATTATTTTTAATTTTGTGTTATTTTTCTTCTTATTTTTACATTTATTCGTTAATTGTTTAGTTTTCAGCTTTTAAATGATTAATTAATTATATTTGTTTTCGTTTTTAGTTTACTTTATTTATCTCTTTTTGATTTCCAATTAGTTTGCTATTTACTTATTTATTATTTTTAATTTCCTTTTTAAATTCATTAATTCGATTTTTATTTATTATATTTTCATTTATTTTTTATTATTGTTTGTTTGCATTTATTTACATATCTGTGTATACTTTTAATCAATTCATTTTTTAACTTATAACTGTGCAATTTATCAATTATTTATTTATTTATTTATCCTTTTATTTATTTTATTTACGTCTTTATTTATTAAATTAAGTTATATATCATTTAACGCAATTTAATTTAATTTAATTATTTTTAATGAAAGTCAATTAATTTAATTTAATTAATGGAATTTAATTGCATTTTATTAATTTAATTTAGTTTAATTTAATTCGATTTAATTTAACTAATTTAAATTAATCTAATTGAATTAATTTAGTTTAATATAATTTAATTTAATTAATTTAAATTAATTTAATTGATTTAATTTAATTTTATTTAATTTTTTGTTTAAATTTATTTTGCAGACCAACTGGAGCTGACGACCAACGACGGAATTTTTGTCGTCGAGATTACCGCAACTGTAAATATAATAAAATAAATAAATAAATAAATAAATAATAAATAAATAAATTAATTAATTAATTAGTAAGGAAAAAAATAAATAAATAAATTGATTAATTAATTAATTAATTAATTAATTAATTAATTAATTAGTTAAAAGAGACAGAAGGAAAGAAAAAGATGAAAAAATGAATAAGTAAGAAATGCAGAATTTAGAAAAATAGTAAATGGAAAATAATAAAATAATAAAAACAAATAAATGAACATGTATAGCAATCGTAATAAATAAATAAATGAATAAATAAATCAGTGAATAAATTAATAAATAAATAAATTAATAGAAACAATAAATAAATTAATTAATTAAGTGCTTAATCTATTCATTAATAGAGACAAAAAAGAATTATAATAATTAAAAAATCAAATTGAGGTCAACTGGCAAACTAAGAAAAGGCGAAAGGATAAAAAATAAAAATTGAAAATGAATGAAGAAGAATTAAACGAAAGTTGGAAATAAATGGACAAACAAAAAGGCAAAACGAAATTAAAAAGCAGAAATAAAATAACTTGTTTTATTTCTTTTTATTTATTTATTTTCAGAGTGTTGGAATAGACTTTCCCACAAGAGCATTTCTACAAGA